AAACCTGAAGTGTCTAGGGCCTAAGGTGGGAGGATTAACCTCAAGAAGGATCGGTTTGTGGTCAGAGGTGGGCTTAGAAAGAGGACGAGAATGAGTTCCTGGGAACCAAGCCCCCATTCCTGGGATACCAAAAAACGATGAAGTCTAGTTAATTGGGGTTGGCAAAGTGGTTGGACCATGTGAAAGAGGAACCCGAGAGTGGGATTTCCAGGAGATTATGGTTCGAGATGAAATTCGATAATTCCATCATAGAAGGTGAAATCCCAAGGGTTTTGTTGGTTTCATGAAGCCAACGGCTAGGGTTGAAGTATCTCCTAATCACCTAGGGATCTAGGGGCAAGGGGGCGACCTCACTGAGCGTCCTCTAAAAGGATTCCCTAAGGGAGGATCTACTCGGACTATAGACCATAGAAAACTTATATTAAAAATTATTCGGGACTGAGAGAGAAGAACGAGATCAAGAAGGTCCCAATGGAGACATGGGAGAGAGAATGAAGGTAGGGGTCACAAATAACCCAAATGCACCGGAGGTGGCTTGGGCCTCCGGTTCTTCCCAATAGCAAGGGTGTATGCCCCAAACCTAAAAGGAGGTTAAGGAGTTCACAGAAGCCTTAGATACTTACCTTATGAGCCTCGATCTGGAGATGTTCTACTATATCAGATGGGGACCTAGCAAAGGAGATGCCCATATCATCCAACATTTCACCAATATGGGGCGCTCCCCGAACCAGCTCTTAGCTATTCATCCCAATCCCATGTGGTACTGGGGGGGTGATGGACCTGTATCTGACGAGGATGCTTATGTTAACGGTGGTACAGAAGCCGCTTCTTTGACTGGATTCACTTAGTCAATTGCCTTTGCCTCTAGTCGATCCTGAATTGAAAGATATGCTCCTTCTATCTCTTCTTCTCTTCCCGCTGCTGCCCCTACTATACCCAAGCTACCTTTGTTGTCTATGGTATCGAGTAAGCCACTAGTGGTGTAGGTGCTGCTTCATCAAACGGGAGAAGCTACTCTAATCTTTATCAGTGATCAATTCTCAACTCCAAGGAGATAGGCGACTCCAACTGTTAAACACAACCTTCAGAATTCAAACGTTACTAGAGGTGCCACCGAGTTTCAAATAGATATTGAAGATAAGCTTCAAGTTGAGAGGGAAACACAAGTGATCCGAAGAAAGGTGGGAGCAAGAGGAGAGTGGGTGGTTTGAAAGAGGGTCAAAGAGGATTTGCGATTCGGAAGGGCGGGGTGTGCAAAAGAATATCAAGGATACAATGTGGTGGGAGATATTAGCGGCAAAACTTGGACTGGCAAAAACCCTTTGCCCAGATGAAAGTTGGATATGGCAGATGCTAATTCAAGGGGATAGGGACCAAGTAGTCTAATTACGATGGTTCACTTGAATTGACAAAAGGAGGTGGCTTGAAAGGTACAAAGGTGAGAATAGAATGGATAGTCAAGGGAAAGGGGAAACCAAAAAGCACAAAAATGGAAGTAGAGATAGGAAGGGGAGGAAGAGTGGCAATAAGGAGTGGTGGAGGAGCTAGGAGTGTGGTTTTGTAAAAAACTTGAGAGAAAGATTCCCTAGTGGAATGGGGAAGGTGTGGTGAAAGTTCAAGAGAAATTGGGGTAGGTAGGAAGAGGGTAGAGGGCAAGAGGTCGGAAAAATAAGAGCCAGTAAGGCTAAGATGATAGTTGAAGTGATCTCCTCGAGAAAAGGAATGATCACCTCAGCCCAAGAGCTCGTGTCATTCGAAGACTGAGGAGGCGGGCGGTGGAGAGGGTGCCTCTGCCTCATCAACTTGACCCTGCCTCCCTCAAGGTGGAGTTCGAGACAACAACATGTGGACCTCGGGAAATGAAAAGACGGACACTAGAGAGGATTGGACTTTAACAGACTCATCATAGTGAGGAAGGACCTTGGGGGAAGGAGGTGAGTAGTAACGTCAGTTGGGGTCTCGAGGCAAAGAATCACCGAAGCTAGCCTTCCTACAATGATGACACTCCTGTATTGCGTGATGACGAAGAGGTCTCATTAGGGAGAGCCAAGGTATGGGTGGGCTGCATGAGTGGTAGGGCCCAAGGCCTGGAAAAGGAGGCTCAGTACATGGCAAGGGTTGGATAAGGCATTCCTTGAATGCTTGATCTTCCACAGGATTTAAGGGGATGGGATTCGAGGAGAGAGGTGGATAACCGGGAGATTCCTATCACCGAAAATCGGGCTACCCAGAATTGTTGGATGAGTGGCAAACAACAGTAGCCCACCTTTACCTCTAAGAATCATGAACCAAAGTAGGGTGGAAAAGATTACAGTGAACTGGTGGAGCATGATTCACCAAACCACAGTCCCTAATGGTGGACAAATGAACTCAAGGTTTAGTTGACTAAAGCTGAACAAAGAGCTCGCAGTTGAAGTTCCAAACCCTAAGGAAAATAAACCTAAGAATACAATCTATTGAGACTGACTGAACAGGGATGGAGGCTAAGCCAAGAGGAAGGACCCATGAAGAGAGACTCAGTAAACCTATCCCCTTGTTGTCTTCTACGTGGTATGCTAACAAGCATGGATGGGAATATCTTGGACATGGATCCAAAACCTAGACTGGGAACAAAATCTTTAGGCTCCAAGGTTTGAGGAGCAATTTGGCTTTCCTGAAGCAGAGGTTCTCAATAGCAAGCTCTATCTCACAACTCTTTAGAGGGAAAGGACAGAAGATGAGTAGCATTAGAGAGAGGGCACAGAGTAATAAGCTCAAATTTCCAAATGCACTAGGCCCATTTGAGGATGCTCTTAGGGTCATGTCTGGGAGGCTCGAACTCAACTATAATGTAACTTTAAAGGTGATCTAATCTCACCTGAAAGAAACTAGCTTGAAAGTGAATATCTTCTAGACCTCTAACTCCCAGGAGAAAGAGAGAGTAATGAATAAGGTTGAACTTTTGAATTGCAAGGTTGGCCTAGGAACCATGAGTAGCCTCTATTGAACTAAAAGGTTTGGTAGAGTTAAGAGGAAGGGGCTGAATTGGGGTTGTTTTAAGATCTGGGGAAAGGATTGAGGTTATACAGGGCCGTTAGACAGAGGCTTAATTATATATATGTAGTTATGGTGTAAAGGTGGAGGAGGTATAAAAGTAGCTTGGTTTGCATAGCTTCTGGTTCTAGTGTCGAAGGGTGGAGGCTTACCTAATGGGCAGTGATAAGTTTAGTAGGTGGCTGGGTGCAGCCGTAATAATGGTGTTGAAGAGGGAGAGAAAGGTGGGAGGCCCATGAATGAGAATATTCCCACAAGGATGTTTCATGGGAGAAAGACCACCAAGGCAAAGTACAAGAGCTATTGGACGAAAGCCAAAAAACAGCCAACAAGGCAACTAGAGGACAAAAGCCAGCCCCCGCCCGCCACCCCCCTCAACCCCAAAAAAAAAAAAAAAAAAAAAAAGGCCAAAAGGCATCTAGAGAATGAAAGACAAAAGGCTCCAAATGAAAAGGTGCCTGGCTGCAAATAACTACTGAGATCCACCCTAGACATCCTTAATGCTCTCATCCCAATAACATATCAGTTTCACGTTTGCCTTTCTGTTTTTATTTACGTGAGAGTAGCGGCAATTTCATTGAACTCCCATTTTGATTTTGTAAGAATGGTTTAAAACAAAGATTAAGGTTAGTCTCATGGCTGAGTTAAGAAACTTGGACTCGATTGAGTCTCTATCAGAGACATGGCTAAGTCCAAGAGTTAATGGCAACTGGCCAGACTCGGTGAAAGTGAGGAGTTGGTGGCGGGCAAAATTATATTTATTTCTATTTTTTATTCAATTTCAAAGGATGTATATTTCAATTTTAGTTTTAAGTTTATTTTCAGGGTTTTTAAGTATTTTAGGAATCCTAGGATTTTTTTTATATATTTTCTTTATTTACTATTCACGAGTACTATTCATGGTCACTTGTTCACGAAACAGTTGATGACTATTGTTCATATGTTCCTGTTCACAGGGGTATTTCTGAAATTTTAGTATCGTTTAAGAGTATTTTAAAATCTTAAATGTTCACTAGGAGATCAAGTTAATTTTAGAGTTTCATAGGCTTACAAAAGGTTGGATGTGATATTTTGGGAGGCTTTATGTTATTTGGAATGATTTTTATTTTATGAATGAAGAAAGTTCTTTTTCCCTTGGCTTGATTTGCAACATGTTCTTTCTCCATTATTGCTGGTTTTGCTTGTTTAACATTCAAGAAATGGTGGATTTAATTTCCTACCTTTCCTTCCTGCATCAGGAGTGTTATTATATATTATACCACGCAAAAATGGACATAGATACCTAGTGAGAGAGAAAAAGCGAGAGAGAGAGAGGAGGGGGAGGGGGGGGGGGGAGGAGAGAGAGAGAGAGAGAGAGAGAGAGAGACAACAAAACTACAATAGTAAGTAAGTACGCACTAGTGTAGACGTAAGTAAGTTAAACGGTAAACGTAATAACGTACGTACGTACGTTAACGTACGTACGTTA